TGAACACACTAGCGGTCCCGTGTACACCCTAGCGGTCCCGTGTACACCCTAGCGGTCCCGTGTACACCCTAGCGGTCCCGTGTACACCCTAGCGGTCCTGTGAACACACTAGCGGTCCCGTGTACACCCTAGCGGTCCTGTGAACACACTAGCGGTCCCGTGTACACCCTAGCGGTCCCGTGTACACCCTAGCGGTCCTGTGAACACACTAGCGGTCCCGTGTACACCCTAGCGGTCCCGTGTACACCCTAGCGGTCCCGTGTACACCCTAGCGGTCCCGTGTACACCCTAGCGGTCCCGTGTACACCCTAGCGGTCCCGTGTACACCCTAGCGGTCCTGTGAACACACTAGCGGTCCCGTGTACACCCTAGCGGTCCCGTGTACACCCTAGCGGTCCCGTGTACACCCTAGCGGTCCCGTGAACACACTAGCGGTCCCGTGTACACCCTAGCGGACTCCGTGTACACCCTAGCGGACTCCGTGACGTGGGTGTGTGAGAACACTTACAGATCAATGACTAAGAATGTAATTTAGTACCAACAACGATGGTATACATGTAAACTTTCCAAATATTAGAACAACGGTCTTCTTCTCTGGCAGATAACCAGGTGGTGGACCAATGAGCCGTGTGGGATCCGTCTTCCCTATACAACGAGCACTTCTCTCTCTCTCTCTCCCTCTCTCCAGAGAGACAGAGGAGACAGAGAGACGAGGCACCACGACTGACTCCATCTAAAATGGCGGCCAATTTTCATATCAAGAATATTTCCAATTACCTGAGTCGTATCTGCTGGCAGTCAGTCCGTGTTATAACGCTGTGTTAAGGAGCGAGCGGTGCCAGATGCTGCTGTATCGTGGTGCTGTACCGTGCTGCTGTACCGTGCCGCTGTTCATGCGTTTTCTCAAGTGAACTTATCTAACGTTAAGTGTTAACTTTTAAGATAAAAGCCCTTTTAATGCCTAAATTGGTCTACCTCGACAACCACTATCACCACCACTGCCACGCCTGAACACTAACCACTACCACCATTCCTCCAACTCCCTCCCTGCCTCCCCCCCCCCAGTACGTGTCTACCAGCTTGTGATAGGAGAAACTGCGTACCAATTGGTGCCTTGCCACCGAGGAGGTGTGAGGTGCTCTCACGGCCACTGTTGTTGTTTTGGATTCAGCTCCTCAGAACAAAACTACCATGTAGCACGGGCTATGGCGAGCCCGTCATCACGGCCCTTTGGTAATGGTTGTGTTGTAGCCGCTCCCTCCCTTACACTACACTACACCCTTCCCTTGTACCCTGCCTACCTTCCTTACCTTCATATCTCGACCCCTCCCTAAAACTCGTGTCATGTTATCTCTTTACCTTTCCGCCATGACCCCTTCAGCCCCCCGCTTCTGGGGGTCCTGGCCCCCCGCGCCACGGACGGCAGGGCCTACCTTGCCTGCCTGGTCGACCCGCCGCACTCGTCTCAGTACCCTCTGGATGACAACATTGAGAAAATCCGTAGAATAACACTTTAGTGTGAATACTGTGAAATAATAATAATATTATTATTATAGTTCGTTTTGATGGGGACAGGAAGCCTGTGTGTATACACTTTAAGATTGTATCGAGGTCCTTCCAAGGTGGAACTCCTGAGCCACAACCCCCACAAGGGACGCTGGCCTCGCCCTCGTCTCTGGGCGAGGTCAGGTGGGAACCATGTGCGCACAGACCTCTACCTCCGTGTTGTTGGTTCCGGGAAATAATGTTACCGCGGCCCAGTCTCTGACCAGGCCTCCTAGTTGGTGGTCTAGGCTGTTTGACGACGCTGAATAACTTGCCACTTCCAGTTTCTGGTCCAAGCCTTCAGACACACACAACACTGATGGCTCTCTAGAGCCAGAGTCCACCCCATGCCAGAGTCCACCCCATGCCAGAGTCCACCCAATGCAGCAGTAGCACCTTTCCACTCCCTCCTCCTATTCCATTAGCCACAGAGTGACAGACAACGCCTCCACATGACCGACGCAAATGTTCACTATTAAGCTGGCCCTTGAACATGCATATTACAATCATAATAATGTACTGATGAACACCGAGTCAAACAGGTATTCAAGCCCTAGGAAATCCTAAACCCCCAGTTAACGTAAGCTTAAACAGAACAGTGGTCCTTGTCCTCCGAGGCCTTCAGCTACAGGGAGGAAAAGTAGCTGGTCCAAGTGATGACGTGTGGAGACTAACGAGCCAGAGAGGGAACAGGTGAGGAGAATATACGTGTCAGCACCCCCAGCAAGCACCAGTCAATTGGCGGGAAAACCCCAGTCTGGCAGGAACAGATCGTGAGGAGTCAAGACTGTCGTCTCTGCCACACCCTCATCAGGTGCCTGGCACGGTGATATTGCCCACGGTCAGGACACGCCGCCACGGACAAAGAACGGAAGACACGGACTGCGGCAAGACTAAGCCACGGCTTTGGTTACATTTATTAAACAGTTTACAAGCATGAAAACGTCCCAATCAACTGTTGTTATTGTTATAAACAGCCTCCTGGTGCTTCCGAGCTCATTAACTGTTTAATAATTGTAAACAAAGCCGCCCAAGATTGAGATGTACAGGTTCGGAAGTGCTTGCGTAACTGCTTCGTGAATCTGACCCAGGGTGGTTGTAAACCTTATGGCGATTAGTGTTCCAGGGGGAAAACTAGTAGGGTAAGATTTAATGAGGACATATAGGCAGGGAAAGCACCGAGCCGGCCAATTTTCCATGAACAATTTTTTTAATTTTTAAATTTGGTATACCAAAAATTTAATTACATATTACTAAAACAGTTGCAATGGCCTGTTGTAGGTGGCAACAGGTCCGTTGAACGGTGGCGACTGGAGACAGGTGCCCTCCCCCCCCCCCACCCAGTCGACCAGTCACACTCGGTTGAGCGTGACTGGGTGAAGCAGAGTACTTGTATGGTCGCGTTAGTGTCCACCACTATACATATGTATACAATGATGCATGTTATGGATGATACACGTATTCGCTGCCAGTGTCGGCCACACACACCCGCCTCTCCATTGAGAGGCGGAACCAAAGAGCCAGAGGTCAACCCCCGCAAGCACAATTAGGTGAGACACACACACACACACACACACACACACACACTTCTGTCCTCCATGGACAGGGTTAGAGATGTGTTAAACATATAGTTCAAGGGTTTTTGAACAATCAACCACAGGTGATTCGGTGCTTTTAAAATGCTAAGCTAACCTACATACGTAAATACATAGATACACAGATTTACGTATGCCCTACATAAAGTGTTTGATGTGTCATTAATGTGCATAACATTAATAGTAAAAGGTGTATGTAGTTCAGTGTGTACTAAATCTGTGTGTATACGCATACTCCCAAACACACACACACACACACACACACACATGGGAGACATGATAACCACCTACAAAATTCTCAGGGGAATTGACTGGGTGGACAAAGACAAACTCTTCAGCACAGGTGGTACGCGAACAAGGGGACACAGGTGAAGCTGAGAACCCAAATGAGCCACAGAGACGTTAAAAAGAACTTTTTCAGTGTCAGAGTAGTTAACAGATGGAATGGATTAGGCAGTGATGTGGTGGAGGCTGACTCCATACACAGTTTTAACTGTAAATATGATAGAGCCCAGTAGGCTCAGGAACCTGTACAGGAGTTGATTGATAGTTGAGAGGCGGGACCAAAGAGCCAGAGGTCAACCTCAGCCAGCACAACTCGGTGAGTACACACACACGATCAAACTCTTCCAACCATACAAACATACTCCAACATACCCACACAATCTCAAACACACTCATGCATACACTTAAGAACTACCTGTATGAACTTAAACACGTCGCCTCAAACATCGTATACAACGTACGTAACACCAACTCCCAGGAATGCAGCATAAATATCAAGCTGTAAGAGTTCAAAAAATATTTGTGACCAGGTTGCTGCAGTAATTCCGAGGGTTACGGGAGCATACTCCGAGATAGTGATCAAACCCGTTGGTACTGTAGAACCAGAGGAAACATAATCACGACGTACACAGTACTCTAGCACCGACAGCGTTAACAGACGCCACTGACATAGGCCGAAGACACAGATGGTAACTAAAATGCTGAAAGGTTTCCTTACGGTGTAGAGATGGTGAAGTCTCCCTACGGTGCAAGGGAGCCAGACAGTGACGCCCAACATGAACTCAGAACCTGGTATAGTGAACTATATAGTGACAACACACACCAGCAGCGCCAAGATTAACCAAAAAACGCGGATCCCAGGAACTGTAGCCCAACCTCCCCCTCAAAGTGAATTCCCACAACACCTACCCACCCTGAACCCCACAATGTCACCACCCCAAGTTACACACCCAGAGGGGCGGCGCCCCCCAGCAGCGGTCAACACAAAGGGTCATCACTGGCCGCCTGCACAGGAAAATAGTGATGACAGGAAGTTGTTACCGAGAGCGAGAGGGGAAAAATATATATCCGGATCATCAATCAGTTATTACATCCCCCATGCAGGTCAGTACTTACCTGGTGCCATTACAATCGTATTATTGTCGCCTGGAGTGCCATGTCTGCGTGCCGCGGTTATCCCGACCTTTAAGAGATGGGTGGGGCCGTAAGGCGAGCCTTTTAAGACAGTATAGTTACAATTAAATGTGGCTAACAAAGTCCCCCTGGATGGGATTTGTTTCGGCGTGTGGGTGCCGGGAGTGGGAGGAGCAGACGCGTGACCCTTCCCCCGCAGCGTGTGAGCAACAACTGGCTGGCGCCGCGTGGCTCTGGTGACGGTAATGTTGTGGCGGGTGTTGCCAGTCAGTGATCGCCCTCGCCATGCTCCACCAGGCAGCCAATCATGCTCCGCCCCTCGCCTCGCCATGCTCCACCAGGCAGCCAATCATGCTCCGCCCCTCACCCTCGCAATGCTCCACCAGGCAGCCAATCATTCTCCGCCCCTCACCCTCGCCATGCTCCACCAGGCAGCCAATCATGCTCCGCCCCTCGCCTCGCCATGCTCCACTAGGCAGCCAATCATGCTCCGCCCCTCACCCTCGCCATGCTCCACCAGGCAGCCGATCATGCTCCGCCCCTCACCCTCGCCATGCTCCACCAGGCAGCCAATCATGCTCCGCCCCTCACCCTCGCCATGCTCCACCAGGCAGTCGATCATGCTCCGCCCCTCGCCTCGCCATGCTCCACCAGGCAGCCAATCATGCTCCGCCCCTCACCCTCGCCATGCTCCACCAGGCAGCCGATCATGCTCCACCAGGCAGCCGATCATGCTCCGCCCCTCGCCTCGCCATGCTCCACCAGGCAGCCAATCATGCTCCGCCCCTCACCCTCGCCATGCTCCACCAGGCAGCCGATCATGCTCCACCAGGCAGCCAATCATGCTCCGCCCCTCGCCTCGCCATGCTCCACCAGGCAGCCAATCATGCTCCGCCCCTCACACTCGCCATGCTCCACCAGGCAGCCGATCATGCTCCGCCCCTCGCCTCGCCATGCTCCACCAGGCAGCCAATCATGCTCCGCCCCTCACCCTCGCCATGCTCCACCAGGCAGCCGATCATGCTCCGCCCCTCGCCTCGCCATGCTCCACCAGGCAGCCGATCATGCTCCACCCCTCGCCTTGCCATGCTCCACCAGGCAGCCAATCACGCTCCACCTTTCACCTCGCCATGCTCCACCAGGCAGCCGATCATGCTCCGCCCCTCGCCTTGCCATGCTCCACCAGGCAGCCAATCACGCTCCACCTTTCACCTCGCCATGCTCCACCAGGCAGCCAATCACGCTCCGCCCTTCGCCTCGCCAAGCTCCACCAGGCAGCCAATCACGCTCCACCTTTCACCTCGCCATGCTCCACCAGGCAGCCAATCACGCTCCACCCCTCACCTCGCCATGCTCCACAAGACAGCCAATCACGCTCCACCCCCTCACCCCGCCACCCTCCACCAGGCAGCCAATCATGCTCCACCCCCTCGCCCCGTCACGCTCCAGCTTGCGGGATGCACGGTAGGAGTCCACGCTCCTGGTCTGATTGGTGGACTTAAGGCTTGTGTTCAGGGTCGCCAATCGCACGAAGATTAAGCTGTTGTAGATAATTTTTCAAACATTTTTAAAAGTATAAATCGATTTTATATTGATCTGTAATTATTAACATCAGCTGCCTCGCCTCCTTTATGAACTGGCGTCACTCTGGATTATTTAAGAATATCAGGAAAAGTATGACACTCTTAAGAGATTTGTCGAGCAACAGAGCTGTGGGTGGTGCAAGAGCAGCACTCTTATATATCATAGATGGTATAGCATTAATGTTCCCAGCTTCAGTTTTTACGTGATTGAATTATGGACATAATTCAGGCAAGAAAGCAAGCATAAAGGTAGTATTGGAAGGCAAATAGATGAGGTGGCAAGCACAGGGGCCAAGGTCGACGACAAGGAAGTGTTTGAATACAGGCAGACAAGTACACAAGCAGGAATAAACACATTACAAACAATTTAGCAAACGAGCAGGCAGAGTCAAGAGGAAGTTGAGCAAACAGGAAGGAGGTCTGGGGTCGGTGGCAGACATGACCATACACTCCCATACACTCATATACACCTTCAAAGCAACCTACACAGCCTATGGTTAAGACCAATACTGGGATAAGCAGCACCGGCATGGACCCCACACCTTGTAAACCATCTAACCAAAATTAACCAAGTACAGAAGCTTGCAACAAGACTGGTGCCAGAGCTAAGAGGGCTAAGCTACGAGGATAGGCTAACGAAACTAGACCTCACAACTCTAGATGATAAAACAGAGGGAGACATGATCACAGCATACAAGATACTGAGGAATAGACAAAGATAAGCACAACCACTTTAAACTGGGAGGAAGGTATGACCAGAGGACACAAGTGGAGGCCAGAAATGCAAATTACTGGAAGGAATGTAAGGAAATACTTTATTTGTGTACAAGTGGTCAACAAATGGACTGCACCGAGGGAAGTTGTGGAAGCCACCTCCGCCTACACTCGTAATGCTAGACTCGACAAAGAACTCGAACATTAGGAGAGTTAAATGACAACGCAACAGGTATACAACAAGGTCAGTCCAGTGAAGGGTCACTGAGGATAGTGTATGTAATGCTGGGTGCGGGGGCGGGGGGGGGGGGCAGACACGCAGACAACGCGGTGAGGCAGAGAATGCTATGCTGCCCCGTGGGGGCTAATAGCCAAGTACCGGCTGGCAGGCAGCCATACGTGACCATACACTGACACACACACAGACAAACGTGCAGAGTAGAGGACACGAGGGTCAGAAAAGCTCATCTGACCCCTCACACCTGACCCCTCACACCTGACCCCTCACACCTGACCCCTCACACCTGACTCCCCCACACCTGACTCCCCCACATAGTGTCACCCTGACCAAATGGAAACATTTAAACATACACCTACCACAGACTTACTCATGCAAACAATCTCTCAGGGATTCTAAAAACACATGCAAGCATCACAATAAATCTTATCCTACAGATTCGCAATCAGCCTGGAGAGTATGTGAAGAGAGAGAGAGAGAGAGAGAGAGAGAGAGAGAGAGAGAGAGAGAGAGAGAGAGAGAGAGAGAGAGAGAGAGAGAGAGAGACTATGATGGATAGATATAATGAAATAATCGATGATGGAGTCAGAGTTTGTCTCCTGTGGATTCCCTCCCATATTGGTCTCCGAGTGCATGATAGAACTGATCAGTTGGCCAAGACTTTTGCTCATAAAGAGGGAATTGGTTACCATCTTGGACTGCCTTTGAGCAGCCTGAGGGCAGTAATATTCCAGGAACATCAACAATATCTCGTAGACTTTAAGCAAAGTGAAATTCACACCAGTTCCTCCATATATCATCATTCTATTATGCAGGAAGAACCGCACGTCTATGGGTCATCCAATAAAGTTAACAGACATCTAGATGTTACCACTGCTAGGCTTAGGCTCAGCTACAAGTATCTCTGGGAGTAACATCTGCTGATGTAGATGTGATTACATGGAACGTCTGTCAGTCTGTCATGACTGTAAAGCTGCCGTCCAGTTGGGTGGGTGTGGAGCAGGATTAGTAACTGACTCACCATAGATGTAAAGTGCCTTGCATAGTGACTTGTGAGCCTTTTCTCGATTCACTTGTGACAAAGTAAAATATATATATTATGCAGTGTGTGTGTATAAGAAAAAAAAGTGTGTACTCGCATAGTTGTACTCATCTAGTTGTACTTGCGAGGGCTGAGCTCTGGCTCTTTGGTCCCGCCTCTAAACTGTTAATCAACTCTGTGTGTGTGTGTGTGTGTGTGTGTGTGTGTGTGTGTGTGTGTGTGTTACAAATTGAGTAACTAGCTTAGCAAGACTGTTACTTGTTTAGCTAAATAATAAATGGGGTTCAGTTCCTGACTCCCCATTAAATGCCTCTGTAACCATTTTCATCCCCCCCCCCCCCGCCCCAAACCGTCCCCCATAGTTTGGTCAATTATATTTATTATGCACCCCATACCCACCCACGGGATGGCCATGTAATATATAATAAATGACTAAACTAAAAACAACTATAATGCAAGTAGCCAGATTACAAAATAACGATATAGCTTGAGGCTGACCAGGCAGCAACACTCTACACCACACACACACACACACACACACACACACACACACAGGATCCAAGAGTCAATGGCGGGATCCAAGAGTCAATGCTCGATCCTGCAAGCACAAATAGGTGAGAATAGGTGAGTACACACACATACACACAACTCCCATAGCTCACAGCTGGCCTCCGTCCTGCACCTTCATGTACGGGGACACGATAAATAAGGAGCCCCCATGAAGGCTCACATTGAGCTACAACAACTTGCCAGACGAGCCTTTAGCTAGCGGAGGCTCCATCACCACCCTGACACACAGCTCCAGCACACACACACAGGCGGCCAGAGAGAGGGGAGTCTCACCTCGGGACGTGGTAGTCAATGAGCTGCTCCGAATTACTCTTCCTCAATAGGCGCAAGCCTCGTCCCTCAGACACTGCCTATAGAACCGATTTGGAACGCTGTCTAGTAGATGTTGTTTCATGCGGGTCAACAGGTGATTGGAAAAAAAGTGCTAGCAGCTAGAAAAGAAGTTAGAGGAGTCGCTCCCAACGGTGCAAAAATAAGGCCACATTCCTCCTTAGGAGACAAGCGAGTAGTAGTGATTCTTATACCAAACGCTTAGGTTAGGTTACGTTAGGTAAGGCTACGGTAGGTTAGGGTAGAGTAGGCTAGGGTAGGTTAAATACGGTTTAACAGCGTCCATTTCCAGTATTAAATAGGCCTGAAAATACACGATTTCTTTCTAATTTTCTCACACTAGGAATGCAACTATCGGGAGAAAGCACCAAGCCATTACGACTATATAGCACTTGGAAAAGGTCAGGATAAGGACATGGGATGGGACGGTGAGTTGAACACACCAGGAGCACCAGGAACACCAGGAACACCAGGAGCACCAGGAGCACCAGGAGCACCAGGAACACCAGGAGCACCAGGAGCACCAGGAACACCAGGAACACCAGGAACACCAGGAGCACCAGGAGCACCAGGAACACCAGGAACACCAGGAGCACCAGGAACAGCACCACAAGGAGCAGCAACAACGCCTAAAGTTGATCCGCCTCATTGAAACCCTCCCCCCCCATCTCCACCCCCACCTCCCCCCCCCTCCCAGACACATAACATTAGTGAGTTATGTGTCTGGGGGAGAGGAGAGAGGAGGGGGAGTGGGAGAAGAGAGATCGGGGGAGGAGACAGTAGAGAGAGAAGAGGAGAGAGGAGACAAATGAAAGGTGACAAGCAAAATGAGGAGAGGAGAAAGGGAGGAGACAAGAAAGGGGAGAGAAGGGAGAGCAGAGCAGAGGGGGAGAGGCAACACAGGGAAAGGGGGGAACTCCAGGGAAAACACACACACACACACACACACACACACACACACACACACACACACACACACACACACACACACACACACACACACACACACTAGAAGAGTCAGCTGAAGCACGCTTGCCTTAATATTGAATTCCTCTTCAGAAACGAGAGAACTTGCTGACAACTGGAACACGAGTAAGGTGGTACCATTCCACAAGGAGGGTGCAGGACAACCCTGTAGTCCACAGCCCCGCACCACTACCAAGTATCCCCCGCAAGGTGCTACAGAGGCTGATCCCAAGCAGGCCATTGGAACATTTAAAACAGATATGTTTCGTCTCAAGACACCAGCAGCAAGGGTTTTAGTAAAGGAAAATAAAAGTAAAACTTTAGTCAAGTTTGCTTGACAAACTTGCTAGAGTCTTTAACAAGATGACATAAATCAAACACGAGAGGGGTGGTTGAACTGCATATTCAATCCTATTTAAGTAGGGGTATGGGGTCGCCCCCCCCCCAGCCACCCACGGGCACCCGCCATACACAAAGACATCATCATGCAACGTTTGATGAGTAGTTGATAAAAGGAGTAATTTTATAAAAACAAAAATTTACCATAAGGGAAAACAAAGATTTTTCACCATTTTACCAAAATTTACCCAAACTGACGTCCAGTTTGAAAAGGAAACGACTAGGAACAGTCTCGGGGCCCTTAATGTTGACAGAGTTCTCTCTTGGCGTTCCTATTGCACCTGTGGCTGTCGGTGGGGCTATTGTGCACATCCTGCCATGTCTCCTGGTGTCATGTGTCAGTATGTATCACCTATCCTGTATATCAGCATGTGTCACATGTGTATTGTGTGTCACTACGTATAACGTGTTGATGCGCTATTTCGGGGAGGGGGGGGGGGGTTTCGGTTGTATATTGGCTTGGGGATCATTCAAGCTACTTCGCATACACACACACACACACACATATTATATTATATATATATGCCTCATTAAACGTTGCATGGTGATGTGTTTCTGTATGGCGAGTGCCACTGGGTGACTGGGGGGGGGGGGGGAGCGACCCCATGCCCCTCTTTAAGTAGGATTGACTCCTACTGCGACAACCAACGAGTCTTATAAAGCTTCAAATGTGGATTTTGTCCACAGACGCGTGCTTGACTACTTATTTCTCGGCTGTTATCGCCGGTGAATCAATGTTAGAAACGTTGATAACATTACAGTCACCAGCTGGGCTGTGTGGGTCTCGAACCCTGGACCCCCACGCCTGTGAGGCTTTGTTGATAACATTAATTGACCATGATTGATATTGACTTACCATTACTTGAGCAAATGTTGCCCATTGGGACAGAGAATTGGAGGGTTTGAAGGAGAGGAGGGGAGAGGGAGAATGAGATTGTAAGGAGACTGATGTAGGGATGGGGGGAGAACGGGAAAGGGGGGGAAGAACAATGGGAGAGAATGGAAGGAGAAAGAATGGGAGTGTGAAAGTAAGGGAAAATGGGAGGGAGAGACAAATGGGCAGAGACCCGGGAACTGCCGGGTATCTCCGTCTAGTGTATTTACTATTGGTGCTATGTGCGTGTACTCACCTATTTGTGTTTGCAGAATCAAAGTCTAGCTTTTGGACCCCGCTTTTCTATAGCCACCGGTTGACTAATGTGGTGACTCCTGACCTATTTCCCGCTCATACTTGCTTTTAAAGTTATGAAATGAGTTAGCCTCTTCCTCCTGCTCCTTTAGGTCATTTGACTTACTAACTGCCCGCACGCTAAAAGAAAACTTCCTAACATCTCTATGACACATCTGAGTCTCAAGCTTCCGTCTGTGCCCCCTTGTTCTATTGTTATTCATTGTACATATTTTTTCTTTTTTTCCACCCACTTGTCAGTCCTCTTAAGTAAACTTTATACATCTGTATCATGTCCTTCTCTACCGTCTAGCGTCGTCATGTCTAATTCCTTCAGTCTCTCTTCATACCTCATCCCTTCAATTCCGGGACGAGTCTCGTTGCAAATTTCTGACCCTCCAAGCTGCCTTTTTTTTAAGACGTGGGTTCCATTATGGGTCGGGGGTACTCTAAGACTGGCGCCTCACATTGGCGGTATACAGTGGTCTAAAAACCTCCTTATTCAAGTTTCTGAAGGATGTTCTGACTTTTGCCAGAGTAGAGTATGCGGCTGACGTTATTCTATTTATACGAGCCTCTGGAGTAGGTATATTATGTCCATTCCCAGGTCTTTTTCTCTAGTCGTTATAAGGAGGTAGTTTCCCTTCATTGAGTATGGGTCTTTCGGTCTCCTGATCCCATTTTCATCACCTTGCACTTGCTGGTTTGGAACTCTAGCAGCCACTCCTCGGACCAGCTCTACAGTTTAATTCATATTGAAGAACCTTATAATCCTCATCTGTTTTTCCTACTTTCGTTATTTTCAAATATTTCTTTCCAAATTGGTTCTTTCCTAACATTATTAATATATTATGAACGTGAATTACTGGCTTAGTTACGTTACGTCAGGTTAGGCTTGATCAAACTTTCAATCAAGTTTTGACTCAAATTAAAAATTAAAATCATGTATAATGTAATGGAAAGTTTTATCATAACGCAAGAAAAAATAATTTAAAATATATAATACTGTATTCCAGGAAAATTAGGCTTGTGAGGCAATTTGGCCTATTAGGTAGAACATTCATTCATTGTTCTATTACACATATATAATGTAAATATACAAGTTTCTTACCTTTATAAATCTGTTGGGACTGCCGACGCCCGTATCCTGGTGGGCGAGGGTGTGGGCGTGGGTGTGGGTGTGGGCGTGGGCGACCCGGAGTAGCACCCTGAGGAGCTGCCTGACGACCCAAAGGAACAACTCGAAGAGGCACAAGACGGCGTTGGTGAGGGGGAACATCTTACGGGCGAAGAGGCCGTAGGCATCAAGATCTTCTTGACCGTAACTGTGGGCAATGTTGATATCACTCGACTGTTTAAGACGATGTTATGTTTGGCGTAACTCTCCCCCATCGTCATCAAAATATTTACAGTGTTACCCCGCTCATTGTAATCCGTTTTCTTCCTGTTTGGTTTTGCTCGTTGGTTTTCTTTGTTAACGTTTAGTGGGTAGACTGCGTTATTTGAATCCAACACGCTTTTGAGTTGAGGTTTCCTGTTTTCTTGCAGATGAGATGAGATTTGGTTTACAGAGTTTTGAGTATCTGTTGAGCTTAGATTAAAGCGATTTTCTGGGGTCTGTAAAGTGATGTAGTTAGCTTTTTGTAAAGTGCTTTGCTTAGGCTGTATCGATCGGTGATGTGTGAGGTCGGTGCAGGTGATGTGGGTAGAGGGTTGTGGGGTGGTAATGTGGGTGTGACGTGTGGACGGATGTGGAGTGGAGTTAGGTGATCCATGTGGGAGGATGTGAGTAGACCAGTTAGAAGGTTGTGGATTGGGCTGGGTGGAGCGTCGCGAGGCGCCATTTTCTGGGGGATGAGAGGTGATGCCATTGGAACCTTGTATGGTGACGAGTGTGGGGTCATGTGTGGTGATAGGAGACGGGAGCTGGTAGGCCGGTCTTGAGGCGTGACTGGCCTGTGGTTGTGAGGTGTGAGGAGGTTGTGAATCGTGAAAGGCAGAGGGGTGTGTAGAGATGTGCTTGGGGTTTCGTAAGAAAGGATTGGAAGATTGTGAAGAATGTGTGAGGTTTTCAGAGGGAGAGTTTTTAAGAGGATGTGAGATGTGATAGGCGGAGCATTTTGAACTGTGAGGTGTGGAGAGTTCCGAGGTGAGCGCCGAGGTTTGTGAGGTGTGAGGGGTGGAGGGTTGTGAGGTGGACGGCGACGTTTGCTTTGATAAGCGTCTTCGAGGAATGGGAACTGGTGTCCGTACAATAGTCGATCTCTGAGTGGGTGAGGGAGTGTGTGTGGGTGAGGGAGAGTGTGTGGGCGAGGGAGAGTGTGTGGGTGAGGGAGTGTGTGTGAGCGCTTGTACCTGTTTGGGTGCTTGTGTGTGTGTTTGCGTGGGGGTTTGTATATTTGAAAGCTCTAAGTATCCTGGGCGAGGTTTGGCCACAGAGGACTGTGCTTGTGGCGAGGGAGACGGTGCCTCCTGGAGATGACCTTGATATGACTGAGAGCGTACGAGTTGAGCCTGGCGCGAGATGGCCTCAGAACCTGACTTAGGCGCGGCTGGTACCGACTGGACTGGGAGGGTGGACGGCTCGGACGTGTGTTTCGTGAGGCGCGCGCTAGCAACAGATGAGGAACGAGGGCGCACGGAGAGTTGTGGGGTGGACGGACTGCCACTAGAGAAGGAGGCTCCAACTGGCTTTCCCGATACATTCGTCTTGAAGTTATTGTCTTCACTGACAACAGATTTATACCGACAGCTTCCATTTGTTACCGGACTTGACGTCTCAGGCGACACAGTTTTGTGTTTTTTCATTTTCAATAGGTCCAAATCATTTCTATTTTCATAAAGCGGTGAGCCTACTGTAGTCTGTCGTTGTAGGCTGTCCAGGTCGGTGGGTCGTGCAGTCTTTAGACGAGTCTGGCTTCTGTTCTTCCATTCTCGATCTTCTTTTTCTGAATGTCCGCGAGGTGCCGGGGCCTCTCCTGTGCTGGTACACGTGGCTTGGTTTGAATTATCACAATGTCTGACTTTTTTCACTCCGTCGTCAATGGAATATATTGACACCAAAACTTTCTTTGGAGCCGCCACTTGCCTCGACGCCTGACCACAGGACGTGATGCCATAGCCGGACACACACTCTCCTCTAGAGTGATGCACCTTGGTTTTACTCTTTGTGGTCTTCTCTTCGTCTCCGTCCATGTCGTCCAGGTCAAAATGAACTCTGCGTTTGTAGGAGAGTGAGTTCCTCTTCTTCCTCTCTTTCCCGACCGTGTGGAGCCTTGGTTCAGACTTGTTCAGACGTCCACCAAGACTTCTTGCTGCCTCTCTGTTGCATTCCTCGTACGGCACCCTGAAGAACTCCTCTCGCAGGAGAGCTTTCTTTCTCTGTACAATATTCCAGGCATCTCGACCACTTAGTTGCTCCTTAGTAGATGCTTCTTGCACAACTTTTTCTTCACCTTCAGGACGAGGAGCGTAGACGTCATTGCCCATCACATCATCTGGCTCCTGTACAGCTGCTGATTGAGTCCGCCTCAAAATCGGCCGCTGTTTGGGCTTACTTTCTGAAAGATCTTTGTTGACCATTTTCTTTTCCTCAGCCTCTTGTTTATTGCTTGGCTTATCGTCACTGCCCCAAGAAGAACCGAGGAGCGGACCTGGTGTTCCTCTACACAAATAACTTAAACCGTTTTGCTGCACGTCCGAGCACCTCGACGACGCAACGGATGACTGGGACGAGTAGCCGGAGGAAACCGCCTCGTCGGCGCCCCTCTGCTTCTCTACATGCTTGTCTCTCGAGCGGCTTTCAATCGTAATGAAACTTTTCTTCGTCTTGGTGCCAGGAGCGCCTCGCCCTTCCTTGTACACGACGCCCCTCACCACGGGGATGGTGGTGCCCGGCTGGTGACCCAGGTCGGTCAGGGGAAAGCATCGCCCCATCACCACCTCCACCTTCTTCGGCGAGGACGGATTATTTACTCTGGTCAGCTCGTCGCATTCTGGAGTGCCACTTTGACCCATCTTGGCGCTTCTGTTGTGAGTGACCCGGCCTGCTTCACTTCCTGGCTGGTCTCGGCAGAAACAAATTAACAGATGAAACTTTCTAGTCGATTAATGTACTGAAGGAAGCCTGAGCCTGAGAATCTCGCTTGATCCAAAGACCACAGGTGGTGGTGGTGTAGATTTGTGGTGACCTGAAGCTGTGAGCGGTGTTGCCTTGTGAAGAACACAAACAGTGAGGACCGACCTGCAAGTGTAGACGGTGCAGGACACTCAAAATAAACCCCGTCAGAGGGCCAGACCTGCAGCTGCAGGCTTAGCTGACCGACCCCCAGCTGGAGACGCCGCGAGATCTCGACTCACAGCTACTGAAGACCGCCGAGGTGGAGGTGTTGGCGACGCAGTGGACGAGGTGCCACTAAAGGCTGGCCGGACCTGCTGCTGCTGCGTCCTGCGCCCTCACGCCAGCCTGTGTGGGGGAGAAGAAGGAGAAAACTGAGTGAAAGTCTTACACGATTTTAGGGAAACATCAATGACGTCATCAATGTGAACTTTACATTTTTGTGAATACTGCAAAGGCGACGATGCTGATGTTGTGGTGTTATGGGGTGGTTGTGGTGTTATGGGGTTGTTGTGGTGTTATGGGGTGGTTGTGGTGTTATGGGGTGGTTGTGGTGTTATGGGGTGGTTGTGGTGTTATGGGGTGGTTGTGGTGTTATGGGGTGGTTGTGGTGTTATGGGGTGGTTGTGGTGTTATGGGGTGGTTGTGGTGTTATGGGGTGGTTGTGGTGTTATGGGGTGGTTGTGGTGTTATGGGGTGGTTGTGGTGTTATGGGGTGTTGTGGTGTTATGGGGTGGTTGTGGTGTTATGGGGTTGTTGTGGTGTTATGGGGTGGTTGTGGTGTTATAGGGTGGTTGTGGTGTTATGGGGTTGTTGTGGTGTTATGGGGTGGTTGTGGTGTTATGGGGTGGTTGTGGTGTTATGGGGTTGTTGTGGTGTTATGGGGTGGTTGTGGTGTTATGGGGTGGTTGTGGTGTTATAGGGTGGTTGTGGTGTTATGGGGTTGTTGTGGTGTTATGGGGTGGTTGTGGTGTTATGGGGTGGTTGTGGTGTTATTGTGGGTCCGCAACCCGTTCTCGCAAATTCGTAAAGTCAATATTGACTTATTAACTACGTGCATAGGTGACATACTAAACATAATGGATACCCTTAAAAAGCTTCATAGAAAACACCGACCTTACCTAACCTTGTTAGTATGTTAAGATAAGCATCTTATTGCTTAGTAATTACAATTATTACTTAACCTATACCTATAATAGGTTA